TCACTTTTGTACAGCAACGGAAGCATTCTCCATATTAGTCTTTCTAATTTATTAGGACTTTCCTTTTTCGTGATTGACTTGATGTTACTTTATACTACCTCATCCCTAAATTCATTCCCTTCTAAACGGGGAAAAGTGAAGGTAAATTGGAAGAGTCAGTAATTCTAACTGTAATCAATAATCCTTTCTCACTGTAGAAGACAATGTATACCAATAATTCCTAGCATAACATTTATTGTTTTAACTGTCATTTTCTGACAACTTTTAAATTGACAATTTATGTTCTTTAATTTGTAGTTTTGTACATATATTATTGTACTACTAACCTTAGCATAATGCGGTAAATTTTTGCAGTTGGTACAGATTAATAATACAACAGTTCTTTTAAAAATTAAATAAATAAATAAATGTAATGCGTAGGTTAAGGAGAGAATGTACAGATCATGACATGAACAACAATCAGTTGGAGCCAAAATCAGCAAGAAATATCCGATTTAATCATTATGGGTGCACATTGGAATCACAGAAATATTCGAGAGAGTATATGCTGTAAAGCCTGGAATTATTTGGGAAGAAATATCAATCATCAAAAAATCTAATTACTTTAAATATAAGGGAAAAAATTAATAAGTAGTGGCTTGGGAGGAAACACATACTAGAATGCCAGAATAAAGAAAGTTCGACAACTCTGCTAATAATACCAAACCAAACTAAATTATATTTCATGGTCGAGACGAAATCTTGCAGATTAAAGTCTCTGGTCAGCAACTTGCATATGAAATGACAAATTAAATCTGCTTTGCACCAAAATAGTATTCTAACATCTACTAAAAACCCCACGTTTACAGTTCAAATAAAGGCCAAGATTTTAAGAGAACTAGGACCCAACCCCCCAACCGATGTGTGTAAACATTGGGGGACAGCCGACTTGAGTAGAAGATCTAAACTTACGCGTTTGTTTGTAGAAAGTTTCTCTTTTGAAAAATCTGAAAAAGGATTTTTTTTGTTTCGTTTTAAGTTTATTTAGAAATATTTTTAATTGAAGAATGGCAATAAGGCACTTCTTCATTGTAATTTTCCCCCCACTATTTCTCCTTGTAAAAAGAAATACTCAAATACCTAGCATAATATTTAAGGTTTCAACTATCATTTCTGACAACTTTAACTTGACAATTTAAGTTCTTTTGCATATCATTGTACTATAGTCTATTACCTTGGTCATGGTGCAGAATCTTTAAACAGTGGGTCCAAATAAGTAATGCAACTGTTTCTTAGTGAAAAGTAAAAATAAAAAAAGAGTACTGCATAGGTTATGGACAAAATGAAAATGTACATATCACCAAACATGAATAGCAATTAACTGGAGCCAAAATTAGTCGATATAAATCTGTTAATTATTTAATCGTTACACATGTACGTTTGTGAGGAGTATATGCTGGTATTATTGAAGGAAGAAGTATCAATAATAGAAAGATCAAATAATTACTCCATAATATAGAAAGGAAGGAAAAAATAAGTTGCTTTGGGGGAAACACGTCATATAATGCCAGCATAGAGACAATTCATCGACAACTCTGCTAATAATACCAACCAAAGTAGCAAACTAGAATATGTCTCATTGTTGAGACGAAATGTTGGCTTATAGAGTCATAATGCAGCTTGCTATATATGTAATGATAAATCCGATTTGCTTCAAAATTCTATACTAACATTATACTACTTGTATAGGGTTAAATTTGGCTCGTAACGCCCCCACGCCAAATGGGCACGTCCCTTATAATAAGGGCGACCCGAGTGAGGGCACGACCCAAGTTGGTGAAGAAGAAGTGACGTCGTTTAGTGCCTGATCTTTTTACTAAGTAGAAGCCACCAACTTTTGTACATTTTTGATTATTTCGAGGGAGGTCTCCTGCTATATAAAGGAGACCTCCACATTGTAATAGGGGCATGAGGATTCTCGGATAATACAATTTCTCTCTCTATCTCTCTCTCTTATCTCTTTCTTGATTTTCCAACCATTGCTTCCCTCTTAAGCTAAGTCTATTTCACTACACACTTACAGATCTACAACGATTCTTGAAGCAATAATCATCTCTTGGGCATATTATATTTGATTATGATTTACCCCTATATATTTTCGATTGTTTTTAAGCTTATAGAATACGAATATAATTTTTGAGCTAAACACTAGTAAAAGTCTAAAGCTCACGTTTGCAGTTCAAATAAAAACCAAGGATCGATCTAAGAAAATTAGGCGTCCGCCGCCCTATATGAACATGTGTGATTATTGAGCGGATTGTACACAGGAGTACAAACTCTACCGTCATGACGTTTTCTGGAAAAATTGAAATTTTCCTTTAAATTTGGTCTTGTATGTTTAACTTTTCTTGAAATATTTTTTCCAAATGAAAAATACAAATAAGGTACTTTTTCATTGAGAATCCTTCTTACACTTGTGAAATCATCACAAATATTCAAAAGAACTACTCCCTCTGTTTTAATTTAGATAACGTAGTTTGATTCGGCACTGAGTTAAAAAAAAAAAAAATTAAAACTTGTGGTCTTAAAAGCTTAAGGGGTAAAAGCTTTGTGGGACCATGACATTTGTGTGGTTATAAAAGCTTCTCATTAAGGGTAAAATGGATAAATAAAGAGTTCAAAGTTATTCAATTATTTTCAAATTTAGAAATGTGTCATTTATTTTGGAACAGATTAAAAAAAGTATCTCATCTAATTTGAAACTGATGGAGTAGATGATTTCTTTCTATCTGCCCCTAAGCTTCAATGAACTAAGTTATTTGGTACTTATACTAGTGAGAGGTAGAGATAACCGATAAAATAGTCAAGGAACATGGAAGCTGACTCTGACACCATTTTCTAATATATACATATATATATATATATATATATATATATATATATAACAACGACAGTAAAAGTTAAGTTTTATGTTTTTCTTTGCTTAAACATTTTTGGAAAATGTGTCATGTATAATTGAAATGCATGAAGTACAAAATTCTGTTGACATGGTAAAAGATGTTGCCAAACAAACTAGGTCTATTATCATACTAATTTTAATCTTGTATCCTAAGAAGGATTCATAATCAGTATATACTGAAGTATTACGATGATTTAAAGGAACTAACAATGCATGACAAACCGAAGTAGTACTATCCAATGTAATTCTGGCAATTTCGTACAAGATAAGCCACAGTGGTCCGCAGGATGTCGATTCAATAAATGTACTAGCTTCCTTCGAAGTTAGTCCGTTACACACCCAAGCCAACCAAATAATTATATTTACGATATGTTCATATGTGTATGAGTTTTTATTTCCATCTTATATGTTTATGCGTTTAAGTTGTTTTTGTTGTGCTTAGATTTACTACTTCTGTCTCTTCTCAAAGTGTGTTTAAAACCAACACACATTCGTCCAAGTTTTCTGTCTTCTGACTTTAGATTAGACATCGCAGGGCTAGATTTATATGATGTCATTATCTTAGCACTAAATTTCATTCTTCCAATTTTCACTCAAACAACAAAAGAGAAATCTACCAAAAGAGACACAAGTATTTAATGTGATACGGTCAACTAAACTACGTCCACGGCGGAGATGAGCAATCCACTATAATTAAAAAGAGAGTACAAAATATCGAGAGAACAACCTCACGAAGAGACTAACACTTGTCCCGTAAAGTTCTCTCTCTAAACGAGACTCTCAAGCCCCCTATGGCTACATTGTGGATGCTACTGAATGAGAAGGAAGGATCCTCAATTTATAGAAGTCCAAATCTTTTCCTACAAGAAAAAGGACTAGTCAAATATAGGAGATTTGTAATTTCCTTTTACAAAAAGGAAAACTCAATTAAGGTAATTATATTGCCCTTTTCCTTCAAGAGATAGGAAAACCAAATATGGTAAGAAAATTATGGCAAACACCTAACAATTCTCCCCCTTGGCCTGAATTTTCTGACAAAATAAACTTGATTCACCTTCTTCACATAGCCTTCAACAGGTCGCATCTCCAGATCTCCGCCACAAAGTTTGTCTCAACGTGCGTAGCACTCCGGTCAAATTTCTCAGACAAAAGATCACGATTATCGTCAAATATGTCACAGCTAGAACTGAACCCGCCAAGATGAACCTGTCTTGAACCTCGCTCGAAGCTGGCTCCGATACCACTTGTTAGGACCGAAAAAAATCAGGTATCATGCGGAAGCTAGCAAAGCAAACCTTCAACGACGATAAATCAGACAACAAAGGAGAAATCTACCAAAAAAGACACAAACATTTAACGTGGTTCGGTCAACTGACCTACGTCCACGGCGGAGATGAGCAATCCACTATAATAAAAAGAGAGTACAAAACATCGAGAGAACAACCTCAGGAAGAGGCAAACACAAGTGACACACTAACATTTGTCCCGTAAAGTTCTCCCCCTAACCCACGATGACATTGTGGATGCTACTGAATGAGAAGGAAGGATCCTCAATTTATAGAAGTCTAAACCTTTTCTACAAGAAAAAGGACTAGCCAAATATAGAAGATTTGTAATTTCCATTTACAAAAAGGAAAACTCAATTAAGGTAATTATATTGCCATTTTTCTTCAAGAGAAAGGAAAACCAAATATGGTAAGAAAATTATGGCAAATACCTAACAAGATGAAGTGTAACATGAATCCTGGCATAGAACGCTTCACAGTAGTAGTAGCAAATGAGAGCTAATACATTATCCATAATAGCGACCTTGCAAGGCTAAGGCACAAAGGCAATACCTTAAAATTTGCTATATTACCTGGCATAAGCATGTTGTCTAACGGTTAAGTTTGCCTAATGAATGTTTTCAACAATAGGCTTGCAGTTCTCGCTTCTCAGCAATTTTGCATTGAATATGATCCTGAAGCCATTCTTACTTTTGATATCTAGTACTAATTTATAATTTGCCCCCTTTTACGGCAGCAATAGGTCGAGATGTAGTTCTAATCCGCTGAGAAGCAACTGATGAACAAAAACTACACTTAGAGTATCTTCCAGCAACTCAGAAAGGAAAGTTAGCACAGCATTTGAAACGCAATATACAGCCTGAACTTACAACTATGTTTACTATGTCGAGAATCTGATGTAGAACGAAAAGCAGCCAGTACTAGAGCTAATAAAAGGTGAATGGTACGGCCACTAAATGAATTTCAACTTTACACCTTCGAAATGAACAACATTGTATATCGACTGTCCTCCTCGGCCACATACCTTATCTTCTGCAACTCCAGGGAAATTAAAAGTTGAAAAAGAAAGAAAAGGGATGAAGAAATGGACAAGATGAAAGAGCTGAGGAAGGTGGCAAGTATTTAAGTATTTGTCTATTTCAGATGAGCTGGATTATCATGCATTACCCATATGAGTACATACAGGTGTATTTCACCCACAACTTCTCCGAGCAGCAAGCAGCCAATGTATGGTCTAGTTTCCAATATTTCACCTTCCTGCAGGCTTCACAAAAAGTTAGCAAAATCTATCAAATCGTGGGAGCTAACCTAGAACTAGCACCAATACCATAACATTTTGACTCGAGCTGAACTATTCAGATCATAACTACTCTTAAACGTTGTCACGAAATTGGGAATAACTACAAGTGAGATCTATTACTTTAAGCATGGAACATAGGTATTTAACATCATACTTCAATTTGATATGACATGCATAATGCACAAAGTACAATCCATTCATGGAGCTGGAGAAAAATTCAACGGTAGCAAGAACATAGCAGCAACCCACAAGTTCCAACACTGGAGCATCTCTTGCCGCCCCGTTGCCCAACCCTCTCACCCTCCCTCTCCCTCTCCCTCTGCAGAAAGGAAACCTCATAAAGACAATAACAACAACAACAAACCCAGTTTGATCCCAACAAGTGGGGTCTGGGGAGGATAGTTTGTACGCAGACCTTACCCCTACCTAATGCAGGTAGAGAGGCTGTTTCCAATAGACCCTCGGCTCAGGAAGGGCAAGAAGAAGAAGAGGAAAGCAAGTGAGGAAGAAAGATGGAAGATAAAAGAAAAAGGGAGAGATAAAGGTAAGTGGTACCAAATAATAGCAACAGGGAAAACAATACCTGAGGCGAACAAAACCACATAACATAATAAAATCTAAGAATATGAAAGGACATGCATACTACTAAGACTATCAGTGAACAACTATAAACTACCTACTAACCTTCTACCTTAATCCTCGACCTCCACTCTCTCCTATCAAGGGTCATGTCCTCAGTGAGCTGAAGCAGCGCCATGTCCTGCCTAATCACCTCTCGCCAATACTTCTTAGGCCTACCTCTACCTAATGCAGACCTTACCCCTACCTAATGCAGGTAGAGAGGCTGTTTCCAATAGACCCTCGGCTCAGGAAGGGCAAGAAGAAGAAGAGGAAAGCAAGTGAGGAAGAAAGATGGAAGATAAAAGAAAAAGTGAGAGATAAAGGTAAGTGGTACCAAATAATAGCAACAGGGAAAACAATACCTGAGGCGAACAAAACCACATAACATAATAAAATCTAAGAATATGAAGGGACATGCATACTACTAAGACTATCGGTGAACAACTATAAACTACCTACTAACCTTCTACCTTAATCCTCGACCTCCACTCTCTCCTATCAAGGGTCATGTCCTCAGTGAGCTGAAGCAGCGCCATGTCCTGCCTAATCACCTCTCGCCAATACTTCTTAGGCCTACCTCGACCTCTTCTCAAACTCTCCATGGCCAACCTTTCACACCTCCTAACTGGAGCATCAATGCTTCTTCTCTTAACATGTCCGAACCATCTCAGCCTCGACTCCCGCATCTTGTCCTCCACGGAGGCTACTCCCACTCTGTCCCGGATATCTTCATTCATAATCCTATCTCTCCTGGTATACCCACACATCCATCTCAACATCCTCATCTCTGCTGCTCTCATCTTCTGCACGTGGGAGTTCTTGACTGGCCAACACTCAGCCCCATACAGCATAGCCGGTCGAACCACCACTCTATAAAACTTACCCTTAAGTCTTAGCGGCACATTCCTATCACACAAAACACCGGAAGCGAGCCTCCACTTCATCCATCCCGCTCCAATGCGATGCACGACATCTTCGTCAATCTCCCCGTTACCCTGGATAATAGACCCGAGATACTTAAAACTCGCTCTCTTGGGGATAACTTAAGCATCAAGCTTAACCTCTACGTCTGCATCATGGGTCCCGTCACTGAACTTGCACTCCAAGTATTCTGTCTTGGTTCTACTCAGTTTGAAACCTTTAGACTCCAAGGTCTGTCTCCAAACTTCCAACCTCGCGTAAACTCCGCTACGCGTCTCGTCAATCAATACTAAATCATCGGCAAATAGCATGCACCAAGGCACCTCCCCTTGGATGTGACGCGATAATACATCCATCGCCAAGGCAAATAAAAATGGGCTAAGAGTCGATCCCTGGTGCAACCCCATCACCATAGGAAAATGCTCCGAGTCACCCCCCCAGTCCTCACCCGAGTCTTAGCATCATCCTACATATCCTTAATCACACTAATGTACGCTACCGGAACACCGCTAACTGCCAAACACCTCCACAGGACCTCCCTCGGAACTTTATCGTATACTTTCTCAAGGTCAATAAACACCATATGCAAATCCTTCTTCCTCTCCCTGTACTGCTCCACTAATCTCCTTACCAGATGAATCGCTTCCGTAGTCGAACGCCCCGGCATGAATCCAAACTGATTCTCGGAAATAGACACGCACCTCCTCACCCTGGCCTCCACCACCCTCTCCCAAACCTTCATAGTGTGACTCAACAGCTTGATACCCATATAATTATTGCAATTTTGGATATAACCCTTGTTCTTGTAAAGTGGTACCATCGTAATCCACCTCCATTCTTCGGGCATCTTCTTTGTCTTAAAAATAACATTAAGCAGCCCAGCGAGCCACTCCAAACCTGCCCGCCCCGCGCTCTTTCAGAATTCTACCGGGATTTCGTCTGGCCCCGTTGCTCTGCCCCTGCACATCTTACGCATCGCCCCTCCTCATAAGACAAGTCCTTGTCCAACTGGACAGTGCTGAAATCTAACACGTGGGATGGATTGCCGTGATACTTCCGAAGCATGGACACATGAAACACTGGATGCACGGCTGATAAGCTCGGCGGCAATGCAAGTCTACAAACCACCTCTCTCACTCGATCAAGAATCTCAAACGGGCCAATGAACCTAGGGCTAAGCTTGCCCTTCTTCCCAAATCTCATCACGCCCTTCATAGGCGACACTCGAAGCAATACCCGCTCACCGACCATGAATGCCAAATCACGAACCTTGCGGTCGGCATAACTCTTTTGCCTAGACCGAGCGGTACGAAGCCTATCCTAAATGATCCTAACCTTGTCCAAGGCATCCTGGACCAAATCCGTACCCAACAACCGAGCCTCTCCCGACTCAAACCATCCAACTAGCGACCGACACCGCCTACCATACAAAGCCTCATAAGGAGCCATCTGGATGCTCGACTGGTAGCTGTTGTTGTAGGCAAACTCTGCTAAAGGCAAAAACTGATCCCACGAGCCTCCAAAGTCAATGCACAAGCTCGGAGCATATCCTCCAAAATCTGGACAGTCCGCTCGGACTGCCCGTCCGTCTGAGGATGAAACGCTGTGCTCAACTCAACCCGTGTGCCCAACTCTCGCTGAACTGCTCTCCAGAAATGTGAGGTAAACTGCTTACCTCGAGCGGAAATGATAGACACGGGCACACCATGAAGACGAACAATCTCCCGGATATAGATCTCAGCTAACCTCTCGGAAGAATAGGAGACTGCCACAGGACTGAAATGCGCTGACTTGGTCAGCCTATCAACAATGACCCACACTGCATCGAACTTCTTCTGAGTCCGTGGGAGTCCAGTAATAAAGTCCATAGTGATACGCTCCCACTTCCACTCGGGAAGCTCAATCCTCTGAAACGAACCAACGGGCCTCTGATGCTCGTACTTAACCTGCTGACAATTCAAACACCGAGCCACATATGCAACGATATCCTTCTTCATTCTTCTCCACCAATAATGCTGCCGCAAGTCCTGATACATCTTTGCGGCGCCCGAATGAATAGAGTACCGGGAGTTGTGGGCCTCCTCTAAAATCAACTCTCGAAGACCATCCACATCACGGGTCAGGGTCCGTTTACCCAAAACGTTGACCGGAAGTCAAATTAATTCATTTTATAGTCAAAATTTATTATTTTTCACAGATTTTCACATATAGGCTTTCCGGTTACGCGCCCGGACTACGCACGCAAAACGAGGTGATGCTAAAAGAGGTTTTTAAGGCCTCAGAACGCAGAATTCATTTTAAAAACAAGTGATGACCTTTTGGGTCATCACAGCATATCATGAGACATTTCATTTAAGCCTGTCTCTCCTCACGATAGGCGACTCAAGCAATTGAAAGAACGTACACGTGATTTAAGCATGGAATGACTTCAGAAATCTAAAGGAAATGCTATTGGTAGCAAATTCAGTAGCATCTTCAATATATTCTGATTGCTTCACAGAATCGCAGCTCAAGAAAAGCTTCCTGAGCATAAAATACCTGATGTATCTAGTAGAGTTACAATATTCCCAGCCCCTCACAAGTTTCCGTATCCCCTCCTTCCCCTCCAAAAAAAATCATGAGCATATAAAAATATGCTATTACTGTTTCGAAAAGATTGGCACTATTTCCTTGTTAGTCCGTTTCAAAAAAAAATTGGCACCTTTCAATATTTCCTTAATAGGAAGGATTTATAGCCACAAAAATGCTATGACAGGTTTAATACCACAAGTTGCAGAACTTTTACGGCCAATAAAAATGTTTATGACTTATTTAAGGCCACATACCTCAAAAGTCTTCCCTTCATTGTTAAAGTTTGTGCCAAGTCAAACTAAGACAGTCTTTTTGAAACAGCGGAGTAGCTAGTAATTGAGAGACAGTTGCATCTGATTTCTTGCATTTTGCAGATTAAGCACAACAAACTGAATAAACTTCCAAATTAAAACAACAATTTTCCAATACAAAAACGTACTACTCGCTTTCAGATTTGTTGTTTAACTTGTTAGCAATGCATGCATTAAAGAGAAGCAGAGCAAGTACCTTGAAGCGGAAAGTCCCGGAATGTGTTCATACTGATGCCCTTAACGAACTCTCTCAGCTCATCAGTAACCCCAAACTTGTCGAGCTCAGCAGCCGAAGGAGCAGATAAAGCAGTTTGAGGGGAAGATGAGTAGTTGACGAGGCTAGACTCTAGAGAGGGCAGTGCAGCGGGAATTTGAAACTTGATCTGGTCGGCGCGTCTAGAAGCTTCCGCAACCATCTCCTTAGAGCGCTTAGAAGCTTCGGCGGCAATCTCCTCAGAACGCTTGGAAGCCTCAGAAACGACGTCGGATAACTTGGAGGAGCCAATGCTGAGCTCATGTGAACGCTTAACGGCTTCTATAGTGAACTCCTGTGATCGCTTTGCTGCTTCCTCCGCGAAGCTCCGTGCTGTTTGCCACAAATCCATTAAAGCCCTTTCTACGCTTACAAAGGGCCTAATCGGCAGTAACTAACAGTAGCAGAGTGAAATCCAATTATTCTAATTTTGTGATATTTACAAGATTCAGTATTCCCCTACACTACGAAATGATAGACTGGATTGAAGTCTACGCTATTAAATGTTGAAGCGTGTAACGAGGTGCAGCCACGTAAGAGAGTTGACTAAGACCCAGTTTTAAGCATTTCTGCTTAGTGGTTATTAACGGGAAAAAACGCCTCGATGTCCTGCTTATCACGTTAGGAATCAGGAATCCTCCACTCAAAATATTCTATTTGAACATCAGTAGAAAACGAAACTGGAGAAGCGCACCGAAAAAAAGGGGAAAATAAATTACAGCATTTGGCATTTTAAAAGCTACCTTTGACATCAGTGTTTCTTTTCTCTTCTTTTTTCTCTCTTAACTTTGACACTTGTAGTTTGAACTTGATATATCATAGTAATCCATAATTTAAAAAATCGCCAAGCACCTTTTTTCACTATCTTTTATTTTGTTTAACAAGAGAAAGTTATTAAAGGATGAAAATATATGTGTTGTAAAGGGAAGTGAAACCAAAATGTTGTTAATCAATTTAAGCTACTGAATTTTTTCATTTCTTGACTAATCACACAACCAGACTTGATTTTTTTCCGATCGTAAATATTCGTACAAGATTAAATTACTTCAAGTTTAGACATGGGTTAAATTATCGAGCCATAATGATTGTTGAGTTTTCATTCAAGTAATGTTTTAAGTTTTGGAGATATGTCTCTCTTCGTCCCTATTATTATATTGAGCACATATATATGTTCCAATACGAAACTTTAAATTGATCATTTAAAACTAACAGAAATATCTTTTGTTTTTCACTTATCCAGCTAAATAGTTATAATGGTTAAGTTCGTCTTGCTTAATTTCATTTTCCTCCCATCACGATTTATTTTTTAATAATTGCCTTTCTTTCAAATTTGAAGTAATTCTCTTATCTAGATTTTTCTATTTTTATTTCTAGTGTAAAATTAGAGTGAAAAAAATAAAATTGGGGAAGAATGCCTTTCTCAGAATCCTTTTTTACACTGATTACGTGAAAAACGCGTAATATTTCTATTAGTTTTAACCTCTATGGCCTATTTAGAATGTTTTATTAGTTGTATCAAAAACAATTTAATTTTTGCAAAGATAATGGGCCATATGTGCTAAAAAGGGAGAATTACAGTCCTTGTCACTTGGCCTAACAACCCATCAGAAAATGGCCCATGTTTGAAGCCCTTACCCAGTATAGCCCAAGTTGTGCATAATCTCAAAATTAATTTTCACCAATTAGCCCACCCCTTATTTCTTCGTTCCCCTTTTTTCTTCGTTCTTCTTCTCCTTCTCATGTCAGCCTTTGCACCACAAAATTTCTCTACTATTGTTATTCTCCTTCAATTCTTTTCCGAATTTCAATGGTTAACTAAGGATTTGAAAAATAAAAGTCACCATTACAAGTGGTTCGAAGATTCGATTTCAGAAATTAGTTTTCTGATTTGTTAGTTGTTTGGAATGGGTGTTGTCTCAATTGATTGGAATCATTAAGAAGAGTTCAAAACTCAAATTTCAAGTGATTTGGAGTAGATTTAGGCTAATTTCAGAAATTGAGTTTTCCGATTTGTTAGTTGTTTGGAATGGGTGTTGTCTCAATTGATTGGAATCATCAAGATAAGTTCAAAACTTAAATTTCAAGTGATTTGGAGTAGATTTAGGCTATATTTGAATTAAATTTCACAGGATGCCCAAGGAAGAAGAAGAAGAACACGTGAAGCTCCATTGATAGGATTCCTTTGTATAATAATGTATAATATTGTATAAATAGTATATAATAGTGTATAAACACAACTTATACACTATTATATCCAAGGTTGATACACTATTTACAGGTATTTGGTGAATTTTTTGCATCTTCTTCTTCTTCTTCTCATTCTTCTTATACACCTATATACATAGTGTATCAAGAATATTTTTAATCAGTGATTATACATCTTTATATACTTTTATACTACTATATACATATTGTACTTCTTTGTATAAAAGTGTATTACATTGTATAAAAGTGTATAAGCATCGCTTACGAAATTTTTTTGTACGATTTTCACTTGCAATTCTTGTATAAAACTTAGTCCAAATCTCCAGCAAATAACTTCAAACTTTGTATACAACCTACTTAGACTATTTCTAATAAGTTCAAACAATACCCACTCCAAATTTCTCACAAAATCATAATCGAAATTTAACAAGATTAGCATTAAAGGAGATGAGATTTTAGGTTTCTCGCGTCTGTTTTTGCGTTTTGCAGTTGTGATAGGTATGTATAAACCTGAAGATATAAAAAAAAAATTAAAAAAAAAATAGAGAAGTATTGGTTATGGAAGAAGGCACGAATGAGTGTTGACTGAATGAGAACTGATTTTTCTTTTCAGTTTTGTTTACATATGATTCTTTTTCATTAATTAAATTAAATATTTATGGGTGAAAAATGAGGAGAGAGCTATAATGGGGGTAGGTAGGAATAAATGAGGTTGTTATAATTAGAGGGAATGGGAAAAGAAAAGATCTTATTGATATTTGACTACACATTTGCAAACTTGTAACTGGGCTAAAATAGTGCAAGGTCAACTTATGGAGTGCATTATTCTGTAATTTTGTCTAAAAATAATAGGATGGGAATAAAAATAGACATATTCTCAAACTTAAGGGACCGTTTGAGTATAAAACTCAAGATTGTTCAATTAAAAATTGTACCCATTATGTCACACTATAAACATTCTGAATCCCTAGGTGGTTAAGCTTCAACTCCATTGCATAGCAGCTCCCCTGATCGTCGGATCGTGGTCAGTGTTCCTCGCTCTCTTTCTCAAAGATTTTACATTGTTATTATTTCTATTTCTCTGTTTCATAAGACGGATGATTTGGGATGATAACTTGCATTTAAATAATAATTACTACAATGAAATATTCGAGCAAATAGATGAGTTAACATAGCTCAGCTTTGGAATAAGCAATATCAGTTTCGACAGAGACAAGAATTAGTGTAAAGAAAGAATTTTCACATCCCGTAAGTACCAATGTTGTCTTCTTATATGATTGCAGAAAGACTTAGATTATCGTCTGGCAATGGCTGTTGCATTTTACAATCTCAACTCAGATTCTGGTCTGAAGAAGCTTGATGAGTACCTCTTAACCTGTAGTTATATCACTGGGTGCGTGATTGTTCTCCAAATCCTGTTTGATGATCGATTATGTCTTTTTTATATTTCTTAAGCATTTGTTTTGTTTGTTCCACGTTCAGGTACCAAGCCTCTAAGGATGATATCACTGTGTATTCATCACTAGGGAAACTACTATCGTCTGAATACATAAACGCATCTAGGTGGTATAAGCACATTGATGCGCTTCTGAGAATCTCGTAAGTTCAACAGCTTTGTCTATTCTTTTTTCTTTGGTGATCAGTTTAGGTATTCTTGAATAACCTTGGCATCTCTAACTGAATATGTGTCTTGTAGTGGTGTATCTGGAGAAGGCTCTGGTGTTAAAGTAGAGGGCTCTACTCCTATCACCGAGCCAGTGACAACTCCTCCTGCCGCTGATGCTAAGGTTAGATACTCGTGCTATCAACCGAGTGAAGTTCGTTGATAGTTTTTTTTAGTATAATAACGTCTAACATGTTAAATGTTTGATTGACTTGATCCACCTAAGGTTCCTTATTTTCTTGTTTGGATGTAATTGTGAATGCTATTCCAGGCCACAGCTGCAGAGGATGAGGATGATGATGATGTAGACCTATTTGGTGACGAAACTGAAGAGGAAAAAAATGCTGCTGAAGAGCGTGCTGCAGCTTTGAAGGATTCTGGAAAGAAGAAAGAATGTGAGTTAGTACCTGTATATCCAAATAGTTTCTTTCTGTATTTGTATCATCTACTGGATATGGATGAAGAGTTTCTGATGTTTGTTTAAAGAATCACGCTGGTACGGATTTAACAGGATTTTAAAGCCACTAAAACAGAGTTTTTAACGAATATAAGAAGCGATCCATTTAGTAAAAACTTGACATTTTCTCTTAAACTTGTTTGACTTCAGCTGGCAAGTCCTCAATTATTTTGGATGTAAAGCCATGGGATGATGAGACTGATATGAAGAAGCTTGAAGAAGCTGTTCGAACTGTTCAGATGGAAGGATTGTTTTGGGGAGCATGTATGATTTATATTAATCCATACTATTATGTAGTAGGAGTATTTTTTTTTACTGTTTCACTACTCGCTAGAAAGTCTTTTTTTACTGGGGGAGGGGAGGGCATGTGTGCGTTTCATTATTCCAGCATCTGTGAGCATTTCACTCTCCAGTGCATGTGGATCCTATCTTTTTGTACCATTCGTCTAGCCAGAATTTCAAGAACTGCATTATAAGCTGCTGAAGCATTTTCCTATGTAGCACAATCAGCTAACCCACTATGACATTTGATTGCAGCAAAACTTGTCCCAGTTGGATATGGTATAAAGAAGCTGAAAATCATACTTACTGTGGATGACTTGGAATCTATCTTTGATCTCGTTGAGAATTATTTGACAGTCGAACCAATTAACGAGTATGTTCAGAGCTGTCATATTGTGGATTTCATATAAATATGTAAGTAAATTAAACAATGTTTGTATTTTTTTTTCTGCTAGATTATTTTGCATGTTTGTTTTGCCGTGTTTTGATCATCTGCTGCTTCTTGTGACAGGAAATTATTACTGCATGGAGGTGATAGAGATGAGTGATGAAAGTTAGATCTGGTACGGTCCATCTGTTTTGTTCCTTTGGATGGATTTTATGAATAGTTGGGTAGTTTTCTTGAAAGGGTTGGAATTTTGCACTTGATGAATGCAAATACGATATCCAAGTTATTTCTTTAGATATCTGCATAGCTACAACACTACAATGTTTCCCACCAGTACATTTTGCAACATTGACGCATGAGTTGAGATTTGAAATCACCTATTTAAATTTTTACTCAATCATCTCACATTTACCTGGTGTTGGTTTATTTTCAAGATTACAAATCTCACATTTTAAGGAGGCTTACCTATAGAAATCCTTAGAGTGACCTGATAGGGTAAAAACACTTATGTGTAGTGATTTGTCTACCATGGAGGTCTACCTTCATATTCACTATGATTAAGAAATAAACGGTTAAACCCGTGAGTTTGAGTTTTAAAGATCTTTTCTGCATATAGAGCATGGGTGTTTTGATTTTTTAGAAAGTAAGACATGAAAAAAATAGGACTGGGGACCGTTAACTGGTCGAGGCCAGCATGTTTATCAGGACGATTAATCGTGGAATATTTTTCAAAATGCAAATGCTCTATTGCCAAGATACTCAAGAATTTGCAGTAATCCAATCTTCAATTAATTGACAAAGTGCAATTTATTTCTACGTTAGATTTGCTAAATCTGTGCTTGCTATGTGCGATGTGTAAAAACTATGATTTGACTAAAAAGGTAAAGTTTTCATTGCCAAAAGAGGAACTCAGTATTGTCTATCTATGGTCGATACACCAGAAAGAGTGATATGAAGACAAGTTGCAGAAGCAGCTATAACTCAGTAAAAATCAAATCTACAGAAGTCAAAAGCACATTCTCCAGCATCTTCTCTTTCTTAAATCTCTGTTACCTGCTTCCACCATCTTTGCAGGGCTGCCGTTCCACTCTGAGGTTAATCTGTATGATAAAGTATTACCTTAATAAACAGTTGCGATTGAGGTCACGCCTGAGAAATAGTTTTGCTGAAACTTACACAGGAAATGCAAAAGATTTCGTGCTGTTGGTGCTACTGGAGCGAACTGAGATGTTATCATTACATTGCTTGGATGCTGAGACCACTATAACATTCGAGTCTTCAAAATCTGGAAGCTTTTCAGTATTCTGACTTGCAAACAATGATGCTAAACTTCTCATTGGCGTTCCATCTTCAATGCTTGAGCTCTTTTTGTCCTTTGAATTTGGTTGTGATCCTTCTCTAAAAATTGAATCAGGTATTTTGCTTTTTTCCCTACATGCTTCGTTGTTCATCTCTTGATCCTATAAACAAGAAGTTAAAAGGTGAGGAGATCATGTCAATGGTAATTGAGCAATACTAAGAAACTTCTGCTGCATTATTTTATCTTGACATTTTACGCGATAAGAGAAAAAGAAAAAAAAAGAAAAAGGAAAACAGAAACTGAAACAGAACAAGTCAAGAATTGCTAATTATAGAGGATATACCTGACTATATTTATTATCAACCAGCTCTCCATCCAAACTCTGCTCCTTTGGCAAAGGATGGCTAAAAGAAATGGAGTTCCTTTCTGCTCCCTCGTACGATTCAGGCTTGGATTCAGAAACATGCAACACTTTGTTCTCTAATTCTGCATTATGATCCAGCTCATATTTAAGCATGTAATAAATGTTATTGTGGTTCAGCTCACAATTTTCCAGAGAACATTCTTCCCCATCCATACAGGTGTCCTTGAAAACTTGATGATTGCTGTCTTGAAGTAAAACAACTGATTCGCGTAATCTGCACTCCATATCATTCAGATCTTACAAATTCAGTTGTATGCTCTATTTTTCTGCCAATCTTTCTCTTCCTTCTGCTAAGGAAGATTGCATCTTTCTCTGCAGCAGATAAACGAAATGTCCTGTTCTCACCATAACAGCATTCGATCACAAAAGAAATCTATTCTAATAGACAAATCATAGGTAACAATGTAACATGCTATGAGGGATTGTGCGATATCTGCATAACCTGAAATTGAACAAGGGATACTTGTTCATGCAAAGAAATAATATCCAAGTAGTACAGCTTCACCAATTTTCACTGTGGTAATATTTTTAAATAACAAAAAAAAAAAAAAAAAAAAAAAAAAAACTAGTGGAATCCCATAAGTAGGGTATGGGGAGGGTAATGTGCACCTTACCTCTACCTTATGAAGGTGGAGAGGTTGTTTCAAATAGTCACTCGGCTCAAGAACAGTGAAAATGAAGCAATAACCAAATAATAGCAACAATGTATAGGCGGCAAAAGCAAATGGCAAAACATGTACTAATAACCAAGATTTAGGAACACGAGAATACAAGAGTAGTACCAATGCTACTGGTAAGAGTGATGCACCGGGTAATAATAAGGAACGAGGAATAGGAAAATACAAGATTAGTGCTAATACTACTGGTAAGATAAGGAGAAACTCTCGATTACCTCTCAACCTTGCAGTATTTTTAAATAAATTTACTAAATTTAAACATTTCCTATAAACAAGAAGCTAAGAATGGAAGTAATACAGATTGAAAATTACAAAAAAGAAAAGCATGGAGAAGTATTGAATTGCAAAGAGAAGAAAAATATGACACGAATAAACAACTCAAACATCTAACAAACCAGTGAAAGTGGAAAGCCAACTAATTAGGGAGAGTAGAAGACCTCAGATTAGAAGGTCTCAACTACTGTTTCTATAATTATGCCGATTAAGTAATGGCAACAGTTACAGATATATAATTAACATCCATTTGTGGAAATTTCAAGAAATAGTCGTTCAACAAATGCTTTATATATATTTTTCTATGCTTTCACAACTACATCTCCTAAATACAAAACTTTTCCTGACGACAAATCACTCAGATAACCCAAAAATAAAAATAAAAAATTAGTGTCTCACTCAGTCAGCAATAAACAAAAAGGGAGTGGGGAAAAAAAAAGTTAGATAATTGATTTAAACAATGAAAATGGACATTTGATTAATGAAGTAAAGTACCTTTTTCTATCAACAGCTGATCGTAACCTGCAAACAGCGACATATACAGAAAGTCATGAGTTGGCGGAGAAGATATATA